ATTAAGATTTATCTGCTATATTTTTTTAAGCTCTAGTATAATTAAGATATATTTAGATTAAATAATTATTAATCTGGCTATTTTTATTATTATCTAAAAATATATAAAAAGAAGCTTTTTAAATTAAAAAAATATAATTAAAAAAGAAATTAGTATCTTCTTTATTATTATTTATTAAAAATAATAAAGAAATTCTAGTTATATTAATAAAATTCAGCTTTTTATAAAATTATTATTCTTATAATAAGAAATATATATAAAAATATATAATTACTGCTCTATTTTAGCTATATATCTTAATTATATTATAAAATACTAGAAAAACTATATATTAATTATTAATTAAAATACTAAGAATAAATATATTATTTTTATTTTATTATTTCTTCTGAATTAGATTATATTTAGATTTATAAATAAAATATAGCTTAAAAAGCTATTAATAAAATTAGAAACTAGTAGATAGTTAAGAAGATTATAAATAGTTAAATTATTAGAATAAAGCAGATTAAATAGATTAAACAGATTAAATAAATTAAATAAATTAAATAAATAAAATAAATAAATAGAATATACTAGATCTATACTATAATATTACAGCTCTTATAAAAGATTTTATAAAAATTTTTTATAGATTTTTTTTATAAATATTTATTTTTTATTCTAATTTATTATATCTTAAATAGCTTTATTTAAAAAAAAAAACTATTTTATAACTCTGGGCTTCAGATATAAATTTCTGCTTATTAGATTTATTAAAATAAATAAAATATAGTAGATATCTTAGCTGTATATTAAAATATAATAGATTATATTTATATAAAATTATATTTTAAAATAAAATAAATTATTTTTATAGAGTTTTCTGCTTCTATCTTTCTATATTTATTATTTATAAAATAGCTTTAGAATTATAAGTTAATTATAATTATTTAATTTATTTTTAGAAAATATTATTAAATCTTCTTTTTCTGTTTTTTAAATCTTTATAAATTATAATAATACTTAAACTAAGATAAGCTTTTTAAGTTAGATCTTTTTTTCTTTTTTAAATCTTGAGATTATATATATTATAAGAAATTAGAAGATTATCTTATATTTAGCTTTTTAAAAAAAGCTTTTTATTTTTTAGAATTAATAGCAGAAGACAATCTTTTCTAAAAATTATATATAAATTAAAAAATTATTATTTTACTTCAATTAAAAAAAGTTATTAATAATATAAGATAGTTTTTAAAAAAATATATTATTTTCTGATAGAATCTCTTATATTTATTATATTATATATTTTTATATTTTATAATATCTGAGAATTAAAAACTTAGAAACTAGTTTTATAAATTATTATCTCTATAAAAATTATAAAAAAAAATTATTATTAATTATATCTAAATAAATAATTAATTAGATACTGAGTAAAGAATTATTATAGATATTTATTTATTCTTTTAAAATAAATCTTTTTTAATTATTATCTTTCTCTAGATCTTTATAATTTATAATAAACAGGATTTTTAGAATTAAGTTCTATATTTTATAATTGCCTGTTATTTATTATTTTAAATTATTAAATATATTTAATTTAAATAAATAATTAATCTTACTGTTTTATCTTTCTGTTAAAAATTAAGTTTTTTTAATTAAATATAAATTAAAGAATATTTTATAGAACTGTCTAAAGAGATATATATACAGCTGCTATTAAAATTCTTAAATATTAAATAAATATTAATTATAGTAGACTGCTGAATCAGCTTTAATTAGAAAATATTTTTTAATTTAACTAAATATTTCTTAATAAAAAATATAGATTATTATAAGATTTTACTAGACTTCTGATTAATATCTAAATCTTATATTAATAAGAATCTAGCTATAATTATTCTATCAGTCTTATATAAATATAATCTTATCTATTAATTATTAGATATAATAACTAATAATACTAATAATAATAATATAATATTTAGTATAATCTCAGCTAAACTCTGAACTTAATTTAGTTAAAATATTTAGTTTTATAATATTTTAGTTAACTTTAATTTTTTAAAGATTATTTAAAGCTAGTATTATATTCTCTATTTTATTTATATAATTTAGCTTATAATTAATATTCTTCTGTAAAAACTTTGGATTGAGATCTTAAATAATATTATTAAATATATATAAAAGAATAATAATAGAAGTCTTAAAGTCTCTTTTAATATTTTAAAAATTCTTAAGAAGATATATTCTAGAAGCTATCTATAAAAAACTAATATAAAATCTTTTTTTATAAAAAACTTCTAAAAATCTTCTATTAGCTAGTTTATTATATTAATTCTTAATTATAGATTCAGAAAATTATATAATTTATAAATATAAGTTTTTAATACTGTGAGAAATTTTTATTTATTTAATAATTTAAATCTGGCTTAGTCTACTATCTTCTTCTTAATTATAAAACTTGCTGAAACTTAATCTATTTTATAATTTACTAAATATTTAAATTTTATTAAATAATTAAAAATTTTATTCAGTATTATAAATATAATAATATTAATTATTTTTATTCTATTATAATAAAATAAAAATAGATAAAATATCTTTTTAAGTTTTTATATCTTTTTTTTTTTTTATTTTCTGTCTCTCTAAGAATAGTAGATCTATTATTTATAAAATCTATAATATTTATAATAATCTCTTTAATTATCTGGATTACTTAATTAACAGATTAAAAAAAAAATAGACACTCTAAAAGAAGAAGATTCTTAAGAATTTATATAATATATATTAAAAGCTTTAAAAATATTATTATTATATTTATCAGACAGAAGACTATATCTATATAATTATAATTATTCTGAATCTAATATTAAAGCTTAAGAAGTTTAAGAAAGATATATAGCTGAATAAGAATATTAATTAATATTATAAATATTAAACTATTTTTAAAAAGATATTCTCTTTTTATTTTAATTAAAATCTAATAATTAATATATTATTAATAGTCTTTGAGTTATTATCAGATCTGAATAAGATTTTTTATAATATCTCTAAATATTAAAAATTCTTACTTATAGTTAAGATATATAAAGAACTTAAGATATATCTAGATATTAAAGATATATAGCTTCTTAAAATATCTTTAATTAAATTAATATAATTTTAGATACTATAAAATATATTAATATTCTTATTTACTAAAAATCTTACTATAATTAGTTTTCTATTCTTTATTAGATAGCTAGAGATTTTCTTTTAATTATAATTAATAATATTAGTATTAAATATCTTTTTAATAGTTTTTAAGATATCTATTATTATCGCCGGAGCTATCTTAATTTTAATATAATTAAAATAATTATACTTTAAATATATATTAATTATTTTATTATAAATAAAAAGTATCAGAATATACTTAATAATCTTAATCTAGATTTAATTATCTTTATACTTAAGAAATAAGAGAAGAATAAGATAATTATTATCTTTTATATTAATAAGAATAAAAATATAGATAATCTTGAAGATAATTTAGAAAATAGATTATTATTAAAATTAAAAAAACTAGTCTTATCTGAGTCTTTAATTATTATATATATTTAGATAAAAATAGAGACCTGATCTTTATAATTTTTATATTATTATAATTATTATCCCAGATAATATAAAGAATAAATATTCTATATTTTTTTTTATTTTTTTTATACTAGATTCTGTAAAAATTTTTTTTAGAATATAGTATATCTTTTAATATAACTAATTAAGCAGATCAAGCAGTAGACTATATTTAAAGAATATTATTATATTTATATTATAATTAAATATATATTATACTTTATATATTATTTATATAAGAAGAATATATATATTATAAATTAATTTATAATTATTAATCTATCTGCTATATCTAATCTTTCTGATTAACAGATATAAATAATTATAATAATAATTATATCTTAATCTAATCTTAACCGTACGGTTAAAAATTTTTTATATCTTAATCTAACCGCCAGATTATGGCCAGGTTAAGGTTAAGATATAATGATCAGATTAAGCCACTCTAGGAAAGATTGCTTGGCTAAAAGGGAAGCAATATTTCTTCTGCACCCCCCAAATTATTGTAACATTCGGTATATTTGCAGCGGCAACTTGGCACTTGGCCTACAGTGTCAGATAGTACTCCATACAGTACACAATAGTCCATTTTTGCACTCCAGTGAGACCCGCTGGGTGGCTTGATTGACTGCTTGGCCCATCTGATGATCTGTACAGACTACAGACGTAGCACTTTGCACCATTTGGAATATCTGTAGGGTAGATTGTGGGTTGATCAACCTACCCAACATGTATGAAGTACTGTGCATACATAGGTACATCCTCCGTACATATACTACCAGTAGATCCAGACACCCTGTACCACTGGTGCTCAGGATCTTACTATATATACTCTGTACACCGAAAGTATCATCTTTTTTTCTTTTCTTTTCTTTTCTTTTCTTTTCTTTTTTTATAAAAAACCCCTCTTAGGCCCTTTGTCCACCCATGTGTCTGATTCCTGCCCTTGTTTTATTGCCAGCACTTTCATCTACTTAACTTAGTATCATGAGAATTTGACTGGGTCATCATCCCCCCCTCTCCGGCCCCTTTCTCTTGCAAAGCATATATGGTATCACACCACCCACGCACCTTAGGTCTTACTAGGTATAGCCACACCCTTCCACCGAAATTCTAGAATCGGATTTCTCTCTATTGCCCCGAACCTTCCACCTGACGGTCTTTCTTGCTTCCCATGGAACCCCCACCATCTACGCTCTTTAGATAGGCATTGATACAACTGCCCCTGGCCTACCAGTGCCTGTTGCCCAAACCACATTGGATTTCGGCAGTGGTTATCCAGAACAAACATCTGACATCGTATATACCAGTCCAGCGATTTCATTCTTGCCCGACTCCTATTTTCCTGGTACGGAAGTCTACGCCGTCTGCTAGCTATTGCTCAAACTCTCCACACCAGGATGACCGAAGGCGAGTTGTGGTCCACACTAGTCACAGTCATCGATCCTGGTAGTGCCAAAGCCATGCCAGCCGTTCTTCAATCGACCATAGATCTCTTGCAGACCGAATTGGCTAAAGCCAGAGCTGCGCTCCATGAAATCCAGCCCAACGCTGCTCCTATATTCACTCGAAGAGACGAGCTTGCCCTTGGTGCTGTCACAGCATGTCGTCAAAATCTCAATCACCGCGCGCCAGACTTCTTTTATGGTGCCAGTCGACTTACTCCAAAGGAACTAGGCCTTATTCCTGCAGTCGGCGAGGCACACGCAAAAGACCACAATAATGATGCGACGAAAACCCCCAATAAACAGCCTCAATCCGCTTTACCTGCACCGCCTAGATGTACTTCGCTTGTTGATGTCTTATCAAATACCCTGGTTCTTGACCAGATGGCCCCATATCTTTCAACATCATCTTTATTCGCCCTGGCATCGACCTCTCGTCTTGTCCGATCTCTGATTATGGATACGCCTTATGTTTTCCGACATCTCGATCTGACTGAATGCCGTGGAGCTATAATATCTAGCGTATCTGCCATTGACTCCACGGAACAGATAAACGATTCCCGGACTGAAGACGAATATTATTCGGCGCCTTTGAGGGGGATCTTTGACAGGCTTGAAGGGAAGTCGCTCCTGCAAGACGTACGCACCTTGGTTTTGGATGGCCTTCCCGTTCCGGCGGACTTGGTTGCCGACCTTATCCTTGCGGAGCGCTTCAACATAAACATCCTGTCAATAAGGGAATGTTGTCACCTCAATGAGCGTAAGCTTATGCAGGTGCTCAACTATGCTGTCCGACCCTCGCGTCCCAAGGGCACGCCACGTATAAAAGGCATCTACTACTTCACTCCTCTTCAGCACTCCCAGGTGATGGTCCGCAGCAACTACCGTGACTGGTGGAGCTTGAGGTGCTCCGGTCAACCTTTTTGTGACACGCCGACTTCGGGAAACAAGTCTGTCCTTCGTGACAGCACTGAAAGTGATACGCATCGCCAGAATGCGTGGTATCGACCGTCTGGACAGCTTTTCAGAGGAAGCATTGAGGATGACTGGGCACAGACGATCCATAAATGCGAAGGTATCATAGCTTTCGACGCAATCCTGTGCCGTGGCCCTCGACACAACGTTGATCCATACACACCACACTCACAAAATCAGGACGGTACCCAGCCAGAAAGTAGACTGCTCGGGCCGAGGCTGACCACAGTTGCGCTGGGCCCCAGAGGCTGCGAACTCTGTCACACGGCACCAGAAGGCCCGGCTATTTGGGGGCAGTCCCCAGAGGAACAATTTCCTCTGCTCACACCGCCACCGTTCCATACATCCTCTGTAGTCACGGCAAAGCGCCCTGCACTGTTTCCAGGCGAACAGCCAGCCTTAATCGCTCGTTGCAGGGAGTGCCTGATTGACCGTTGGTGCCACCGCTGTAACAGATGGTTTTGTGCAGTTTGCCTGCCACATCCGGAACGTGTAAGGAGTGATTTATCACCGCACCAAACAGCAGTTAGAGGTCCAGGGATTGAGCAGGGCGACATGGAACTATCTCAGTATCGCAGGGTTTGTACCCGAGAGCCTCACTTATATGCGGAAAAAGGAGCTGACTGGACTGAATAGCAGTTCAGCCCGGGTGTTAGCAAAGACTGCTGGGAATGCGGTCCGACAGTAAGTGAAACAAACCATCTCGGCCATCCATTATTGCCCATCTAATGCCTTTTCCAGTGTGGCCTGTGCAAGGTGGAGTGTCAGCGCACTTGCCGAAATTGCTGTGGAGATTATTGTGTAGAACACAATGAGGGGTGCTCTCCAACAATGGTATACAACAGATTCCCACATATCTTCATAAACATATGCTGACATAAGTGGCATTGTCAGTGCGATTGGTGCAATGCCAGTACACGTCATCGTATGCGGGAGTTTTATTGAAGTCCATTGTTAGTCTGGGCTGAAAGTGTGGGGGAGATATATATGACTGAATCCACAGCGCCTGCGACAACAACATAAGCTGTGGCATCTGTGACCTGTGCACGAATCAACTCTGCACTGAACAAGATGGAAGCCTCCACAATGAATCAGTCACCTTTGACATAGTATTGGCACCACCTCCCCGTGATTTACTTTGGGCCGTGACATTTGTTCTTTCTTGCATTTCCATTTTTGTTTCTTTTTAGATTGACCACTAACCCACAGCCGGCGTGTCTAGCACTGGAATAAATGATTGCGATGGTCTTGAGGGAACCGGATTGATTGTAGCTAGCCATGCAGGAGGTTGGATGCATAAATGCATACTTTGTAGTCCGTACTAGAGTCTCTACTAGACTCCGTAGTACTCCGTAGTTAGAGGGAGCATGGGGATGACAAATACCCGACCGGGTTCTAGAAGGCGCGCGGTGTTTCTCGCCCTCTCCGAATCGTTTGAATCATGGCCATCCTCCATACATGACCGACTTGTCCCTCAAGATGATCCCATCCCGTCTTCCCCCTTCCCCCGAGATTCCCTTGTTTCCCCTCCGCCGCTACTTTTCTTCACACCACCTCTCCCTGTTGGAGATAGAATGGCTAGGGACTGGGATTACTTGCGCTGGTCGTCGCACTTGACCGTTGCTCCGTCCCAGCAAACCCCAAGACTATCGGGTGATAAGATCACGCTGCCACCGTCTGCTCTCGAGCAGCTCCTTGCCGCTGCCCCGCTCCAAGAGGCTACTACATCGCGCGGTCCAGCGCGCCAACACACCGGCGCCTTTGATCCCTTCAACCCGCATACATTCGCCGCGGAGACTCAAGCGCGAGAGCAGAGTGTGGATCGCCAACAGCAACTGCCCCATCCGCTCACATTCCGCATCGTGAACCCTCAAAATAACCGTGTGATATATGCCGGTGTCCGCGAGTTCTCCGCATCGGAGAACGAAATCGGTCTCAGCGTCTTTCTGAGAAGGGCCCTCGGCGTGGCCGATACCGAACCACTTTCACAACCTAGCCCTGCTACCCAGGAGTTAGGCTCCGTCGTGGTTGACCCGGAAATTGCTCCATCGGCAGGGCCGGCCACAGTAACGGTCCATGCACAGCAGTTGCCGAAAGGCACCTACGTCCGTCTTCGCCCTCTCGAAGCCGGGTACGACCCGGAAGATTGGAAAGCCTTGCTCGAACAGCAGCTGCGTGATCACTATGTCACATTAACCACCGGGGAGATTCTTCATGTTTCCGGGACCCGTGATCAATCGTTCCGGTTTTTGGTCGACAAAGTTGAGCCTCATGGTGATGGCATCTGTGTTGTGGATACAGATCTTGAGGTGGATATTGTCGCCTTGACTGATGACCAAGCCAAAGAAACCATACAGAAGCGCTTAGAGAGAACATCTCGTGTTTCTGGTATCAGTGAAGGTACATCCACGGGTGGTGAAGTCGAGTTCGGTAGAGTGGTCACTGGACAGGTAGTGCCCGGGGATTATGTAGATTACGAACTCCACAAATGGGACCGCACGAATGCACTCGAAATATGCGCCGAGAGTGACCAGAGTGGAGACTTCTATCTTTTTGTCAGTCCCCTGTCCGCTCGCCAGAGAAATCGACCACGGGAGGATGAGCATGTATTTGGCGACTTATCGAGCCGATCGTCCAAACGGATCAGAATTCGGCCGGTGAGCGATGACCTGGAAAGAGCCGAGGCTCTATACATATCGGTGCATGCATGCGCTCCTACTGAGGATTCTGAGGCAGACGTGTCGGCTTCACATTTGTCGCTGCTCTACAATTTACAGATTCATGCTGACCTCAAGTCCACTGATCCTGAAAGCCATTCAGACTCTGAGATGGAACATCATGATTCTGGCGATGTACAGTGTAAGAACTGCCATCAATGGGTTCCTCAGCGGACGTTGATGCTACATGAAAATTTCTGCCTCCGCAACAATGCGCTCTGCCACTTGTGTCAGAACGTGTTCCAGAAACGGTCAATAGAATGGCAAAACCACTGGCATTGTCCACACGATCCGGCTCATGGCAATAATTCTGCAAGCAAACACAGACACAATCTTCTCTTCCATACAAAGCGTTCCTGTAGCGCCTGCGGTTTCGAGGCGGAGAACCTTCCTCGTCTTGCACATCACCGAACAACCATCTGCCCAGGCAAACCCATTCTTTGCCAATTCTGTCACCTTGTGGTTCCCCAGCAAAGCGAAACCGATCCCGACATGAACGATCCAGAAGTCTTGATTTCTGGCCTTACCCCGCACGAACTGGTGGATGGTGGCCGGACGACCGAATGCCATCTTTGCAACAAGATCATCCGACTGCGGGATATGAAGACGCATCTTCGTCACCACGACCTGGAACGCCTTTCCCGACCTACACCTCGTATTTGCTTAAATCAGAACTGCGGGCGGACGCTTGACGGGCGTGGTACACAGACTGCAGTCAACCTCGGGCTATGCAGTATCTGCTTTGGCCCATTGTATGTAGATACTTACGATCCTGAAGGAAAAGCACTTCGACGGCGTATTGAGCGCCGTTATCTTTCACAGATGATGACAGGTTGTGGCAAGTCCTGGTGTCAAAATGAGTCCTGCAAGACAGGAAAACAAGCTCGCGGGGCCTCTACGACAGGCCTCGGTTCCACATTTGCGCCGGTAGGCACGGCAAGTATTCTAACTACGGTAAGGCCTCTGCTTGACGCTATCAATCTCCAGGGGGATGGGCCGAAGAACACCGCGCCTTTTTACCTCTGCGCAGATCAAGTGGGCCAGCAGCGCCGCACCCATGCAGAAATGATCGCGGCAGAAGGCAAATTGGATGGTGGGAAGAGTTATGCTTTACCATGGTGTGTTGCCGCCATTGAAGTCATGGCGGGCAATCCAAACAAAGCGCGAGAGTGGCTGGAAAACTGGGCCCCTGCTATAGGTGAAGACGCGGGCACTTTGCGGTAGTAGATAATTGCAAGAATTGATATGGTGTCCAGTCGCCTAGAATACCACCTTGCCGCAAGGCAACATCCGGTTTTTTGGGGGAACGTAGTGGCATACCCGGCACATGTAGTTCAACATGCTGGCAGCTGAATCAGATAGCAGGTGTCACTGAAACGAAAGTACTTCGGGCAGATGAACAATGTCTAGGGCGCGGTGGTAACCTGAGCAGGGGAATGGAATACTCAATGATTCTCATAGTCTGTTTTGTACGTACAAATCGGGTTCAATGGGCCATGATAACTCATGATCATAGTATTTATGCATTCCGCTTCCATGACTATGCAATTTAATGACATAACTGGGGGAAAATTGGGTGTAAAGAGAAAGAAAGAGAAGCTATAGTTCGTCATGATTGGTTTGGTAGAATCATATATCAGGCCGTACCAGTCTTCGCAGCCAAAGTACCACTTCCACGAGAAGAGAAAATGCCCATGATCCCGAAAACAACATAGAACAGCGCCAGAGGATAAGCAACTAGACCTCTCATGCCGCGCATCCGGGCAACAGCACAAAACATTCCCGAGGAGCTATATGTACACCACCCGACGGCCGCAGTAGTCAGTAGGTACCCGAACATCGTGTCCATAGGAATCAGAATCCCCACTAAATTTGTCAGTACCAGCGGGAGGAAACAGTAACCCAAAACGCTGGCTGAGCGGGGGAAGGTCAGAGTGGCGGAAAAGTGACCGGCAGCAGAGGTGTCGGATATGGAGGGTTTGTGGTGAGTGGAGTAATTGGCGGGGTCTACAACGTTGGGCACAGCGACTGTGTCAAGAGCTGGCGACATCAGGCTGAGAATCAAGTGCAAAGCAACGGTCCCAAAGACTGCGACCCCGTAGATGTAGCCATAGAAGACCTTGCCGGAAAGCAGGAGGAATGTTCCGTAGAGGACGATGTAGAGAAGTGCGCCATACAGGTCGCTGTCATCCATGAGATGTTGGTCTATGCGCGCAAAGGGATTGAGCACAGTCAACGTCTATGAGAATAGTCAATAAGTTTCGCTTTAGGTGATCAAACGCAGCTTAGGTGGATCGACCTTTGTCCGAATATGCTCAAAGTTGACCCCCAGCTCCTCTAAGAGCGGCGGTTCACCTTCATAGCCCTCTGTGCCAAACGCGGCAAGCCATCCGGTCCTCAATCCTCCCTGCTCGCCCATCCTTCCACTGACCCCCGCAGTTGGAGATCCGAAACCGCCATATCCGCCCCCAACCCCTCCAACGGGGTAGGTCTGAGCTGCTGGATTGGGCGGAGCGCCAAACCCGCCGTAAGACGCCTGTGATGGCGTTGTGTGGCCAGATACGGTAGTATATGAGGAAGGATAGAATTGGAGATTCTGCGCCGAGGGCTGGACCTCGTAAGGCCGTTGTTGCGAGTAGTACTGGGCCATTGCGGCCAAAGGTCTGGGAGGAAGCCGAATATGGTAAGTGTTCAAGGAAGATGTACGAGCAGCAGTGGAGAAAAGACGCTCGATATGCCAGTGCCAGGGGCGTGTAGAGGGAGAGGTAATAATTGAGGATGTACGGAGTATGAGTGGCAGGAGGAGAGAACAGCTGGCGGGCGGTGAGGGTTGATCCATGTTACACAGGTTTTGTACAGGTATTGTGGCGCGGTTGCTCTGTAAAGCAGCAGGCTCTTGCCCGATCGGGCACCTCCCTTAAGTCATCTATGGGCCCTCTTCCCTTCCTCCTCTCCTGTACCTAGTAATGGTAGAATCAATCATCATTACACTTAGTGGCATCGCTCAATACTACAGTGACCATATCGAGATCTCTCTTCTCTTGTTCCGTTGGTGTTGAGGGCCGTTACGGAGGTAGGGCGTATCAGTATGACGGAGTAAAGTGGAGTACTACTGTCAATCCAGGTAGGTAACAAACAACACTAAGCCACACACCCGTTCAATCCCTCCCTCTATTCAGTTTGGTACAATATTTAACCCCCTCTTTCCCCCTCCCCCTCCCTTCTCTCTTGCTCTTCTATAGGAAATGAATGCCAATCCCAAGCTGCAATCCTTTCCTGCCTTCCTCACCCTTACGGAGTACCAGGGGAAGGGAAAGGTTCAACTCGAACCTAGCTATCGGATGCGCATACACAAGTCCAACTCCTGCCGCGATGCTGGGCAGGCCATTTGCCAGTTCCGAAACCGTTGAGATCATGGCGTCCTTCACTTCGGTATCAGACGTGGGGGTGTTCTTCTCCCTCGTGCGTAGGGGTAACAACCGTCCGCCGTTGACAAAAGCCTGCAGCCGTAGAGGCTTTTCCGCGCCGACTCTGGGTAGTGGAAGCAGCAAGTTGGCACTTCCGGCAGCATATACATCACCGCCAATAGCATCTCCTCCGTCATGGGGCCCAAGACCGCAAAGGCGAAACCCACGAACGTCCGTGGGCCCCCCAAGTAGGAAACGGTCATTAGTGCGAGAGAGCTGAGGCCGGAGAGCAGAATCGAGTCCAAGAGGATAGAGGAGTCCAGCACGGAGCCCAGTAGTCAAACTGATCCCACTGTCGCCTTCGATGCCAGGGATTGGAATGGGAATTGCGCCCTGTGTTTCAATTTCGGACTTCCAGAAGGAAACATCGCCTTTCAAAGGGCCCCAGCCGGCCACCTCATTGAAAGCCCTCGCATAATAGCCACGAGATGGAAGAAGAGGACTATTCCTTCGGTCTGTAGACCAACTATGGAAGATACTGCTTTTCACACTATCGCCCGCATCAGCTCGGACCGAAGGGGATGCCTTCTCGGAGAGGCCAGTCATCTGTCTCCAGAAACCGCTGTAGCCAAGCTCATGGCGGTGACCAGATGGGCTCGCCCACCGAAGCTTGCTCCACCCTCCTTTCAGCACCTCCTCATGGCTTGCCCAGGATTTTTGCGTGGCACTTGCAAGGCCACCGAGTTCCAGGCGGAAGTCTGGATCACTGAGGATCGGGGTCTCGAAAGTGGCCTGATAGGCAGACCTTGTCCTGGTGCCCATTGAGGCATTCAGGTTCAGGTTCTCCGCGCCGCCAAATACATTGCGCCAGAGGAGATTGCCGTATGCGGATCCCTCGGTATTTCCGAGGTCGGTTCCCGTCTTGAGCAGTACGCGAGACTGTTCTTTAACCGCGAGGTGCACATTGATGTTCGGTATGCCCGACAGCGCGTCTGCTTCCGGCGATTGATCTAGAAACACTGAAACGGGCTGGTGGAAGATGTCTTAGGTTGAATTAGCAATCAGACCTGAGAGTATGTAAGAGAGGACAGAAGTTTTCTTTGGGGGATGCCAACCGAATCTGTTGAGCTTGTCTGCGCGTGCCGAAATTTCCCGCAAGGCCTCAGAGAGCGTATAGGGTCTGTTCTGATTACTGCTCAAAAGAGGGTCGAGAACCCGCTCCAGAAAGCCTCGACGGGTATGGCTGGCGCCAGTGACTTGCACCGAAGAGATGACACATGGCAAAGTGGAGTTCTGGTCAATCTGGAAGCATGGGTACGCCGGTCAGCCATCGTAGCGCATGCTGTATTATCTCTTCCAAGGGCCATCACTCGTATAAAAGATGGATTGATGATCCAAAGACGCTTACCAATTCGACGAGGCGAGTCTGTGCCTTTTGGTAGATCGCAGTCGTTCGCTCATAGACGGCCTGCTGCTGTTCCTCGAGCACATTCGGATCGGCACGTTGTTGGAGGCGCTCGAAGATCTAGAAAACAAAGGATCATCCGCAGTCGTCAGTGTACAGTCTTAAAGATAACATTAAAAGAGAGTTTGGAACATCACACACATCTTCATCGTCGGCGGAGAGTGGCGAGGACATTGCTGCGGCGGCAATGGCCAGAGGAGACCTGCTTTCTTGCCTTCTCTTGCCTTGCTCAACTCGCGCGGAGCGGCGAAGATGAAGCCATCCGATTTGTGCACGTGACTGCCCTGGGGCTTCAGGCCGGGCGTCAACCTTCCTTCTCATCCTCCTGCTCCTATCCGTCTTCCCGGACCAACTTCTTGCCGCCTGATTGCTTTTGTCTATTTTCACACTCTTCTTTCAAGCGGGCGTCCTTCCGCTTTTACCCCCGAACCTCTCCCGCCCTCGTTGGGATCTGTCTTCCAACCTCCCCTCCCCCTCCCCCCCTCCCCGGGAGCTGCAGAGCCCACTGCCGCCGCCACGACCGTTTACAGAAATGGCGACAAAAGCGGCTTTCAAGCGCGTGCGTTAGGGCCTTTGCGGGTGCCAAGTTTCTCGCCCTCGGGTTCCGCTAACGGTCGAGCAGCTTACTCGCGAATATCAGAATATCCAGAAGAACTCCCCGCCTTATATTGTGGCACACCCGTCAGAGTCCAACATCCTCGAGTATGTCACTTGCAGCACCCATCCCCGAGCATCAAAACCTAACTGCTGCTTTAGATGGCACTACATCCTCACCGGACCGCCGGGAACACCGTATGAGAATGGCCAGTATTGGGGCACCCTGATGTTCCCTCCTGATTACCCGTTTGCTCCACCAGCTATCCGCATGCACACTCCTAGTGGTCGTTTTCAACCATCAACTCGTCTGTGCCTCAGCATCAGTGACTTCCACCCAAAGTCTTTCAACCCCGCCTGGGAAGTATCTACCATTCTCATTGGATTGCTTTCCTTTATGACAAGTGAGGAAATGACCACCGGCAGCGTGAGTGCATCGGAGGCGGAGCGAAGAGTGTTGGCGGCGCGATCTAGATGGTGGAACTCCACTGGCGGGGGCTCACATATCAGCGCAACACCGGGAGTGACACCCACCGCCAAAGGTATCAACAATGTGAAAGCCGGAGACGGTGGCCTGAAGTTTCGCACGGAATGGCCCGAAGTAGACCAGGAGAACTGGAGATGGATGAAGGACAGCCGCATTGACACGAACACCGGTCAGCTCATGTCCGATCCGAGTCTTGCGACCAAATGCTCCCCAGAAACAAGTGCACTTCGCCGACGGCCGAACGGTAGCGCGCCAGGCCTTGGGGCTGTCATGGAGGGCGGTCATGTAGCCCGTGAAGCAGGTCAGAGCTGGGTCCGACGCAACAAGATCTGGATTGGCCTCGCAATTCTATTTGCATATGCGCTTTTGACAAGACTGGTGAAGGACGTTCAGGGTTGAAGAAGCCAAGCTGGCTCGGCTTTCTCTACCTATTTCCCTGAAGTTACCAGGTACCTTTAGGTTCTTTCGAATATTCTGACCTCGCATCGATCCTGTTTCCCTCTCTCGAATATATTACTCCTCTTCCCACCCAGGATCAAACATATCCTTCACCATTCTTCCCCCTTCGCCCCTGTTCTTTTGTTCTTGCGGACTAATGTGGGGGTACGCGGTGTCTATTGTTCGGAGGGCGTCGGGGTTGGCGTACAAGACCTCTGTTCTCCCCGTCCCTTTTTGTCTTTCTCCTCCCCTATCTTCTTTCTTGACTCTTTGCGATTTCATTGTCGCGTGATAAAGAGGGGTAGCTTGATGATTATAAGCAGGGAGGGAAGGTGTGTATATATCCAGCCAGCTAATGTTGAACGCATAGTATTATTGATAGACTTCTTACCTACCTGCTGCTGGTATATGGATGGACTCGTTCTAATTGGCTGCGGGCAATGGCCGAGAACCTCGACGTCACGTGGGCGCGGGCGGGAATTTTCCGGCTTGAAAGAAAATCATTTATTTTGTATTGCTGAATTATTGATCGCGCGTTTGGACAGACAGACTACAACCCGTTCTATTTCTTACGCTCTCCCTCCATAATCGTTCCTCTCACCGATCTCTTTCTTTTGCACCGTATCGCACCATTAGTCATGGGTTGGTTCTGGGCCGACTCCCAACCGAAGCCGACTCCGGCGGCTTTAAAGCCCTCCGATGCTTCTCCTCCAGTGAGTAAATAAACATCGAATAACTATGTCGCTCAAAAGCCCTGTCCAAATCTCTGATTGTCCCTTGTAGCCAGGATGCCCTATGCACACACCCTCTACCCCTCCTTCTATGCCGAGCAACTCCAGCCCCGACACTGCAAGTGCATGTCCGGTCCGGTCTACGGACTCCCCATTCTATGCGCCGCCGAAGCCCAAATCACCCGAGTCCCAACCGACACCAACCCAGGACACGCGGTCAACGCTTTCGAAGTTGAATCCCCTGAACTACATGTTCGCCTCGATCTCCCAGGAAAGGGCACCGAACCAGATAGTAGATCTCCCGGTGGAGCGAGAGGCCTCATCAATACCTAGATCCGATCTAGATGAAAATTGGGAGTATCCATCCCCTCAGCAGATGTATAATGCCATGTTGCGCAAGGGTTATACAGACACCCCGCAGGATGCCGTCGAGGCCATGGTTGCCGTTCACAACTTCTTGAATGAGGGAGCTTGGGAAGAAATCGTTCGGTGGGAACGCCTCTTCTCCCGAGGTCTTGCGCACGGCTGGGACAAGTGTCGACGTGGAGAGGAGAACATCGTGATGGACGAATACAGAGAAGACCTTGCAAACACCACGAAGCAGGATGTTGCGCCACCCCGACTCATCCGGTTCAAGGGTCGCCCACAGGAGTTAACTCCCAAGGCACGCATCCTACAGAGCCTTGGTTGGCTGTATCCGGCAAAGTTCGAGTCAGTATCCCCTATATCTATCAGTCAAAAAGATTGTCCTTGGCTAACCATGCCTGGGTGTGCCAGAACCAACCCACCTTTTGACCGCCATGATTGGTTCGTGATGCGGCAGACACCGTCCGGTCCGAAAGAAATCCGTTATGTCATCGACTATTACTCAGGTCCTCCAGAGCCAACGGGGGAACCTGTCTTTTTCTTGGACATCAGGCCCGCTCTTGACACGCCAACTGCCGCTGTTGAGCGATTGATGAGATGGGGTGGAGACGTGTGGTGGCGCGCTAGCGGTGCGAGTGCTCGCGAGACCAGTGGACATTAGATGCTACTACTACTAATTATTGACAACCCATGTCCTTCAGCATCTTTCACTGGGATACACTCACTCAATGAAGGCGCGGGCGTCTGACGGGGGTTCGTTTCCTCGGAAACCGTGCTGGCTATGTCGTTTTTGTTCCTATTGCTCTCCCCACTCTGTTCGGATATCTCATGCTCTTTTGGTCATGTGGATGTGGAGTATATTGGTGGCAGTCCATGGCGGCAAATAGCATTTCTGATTTGGTGCTTGGCTTTTTCCCCCCTTCCTCTGATGCATCTGACTTGGGGCAGTTATTTCGATACACGTGTAATATATAGGTTTTTCTCTATCAATTGCCGCGTACGCAGGTGCTAGGAAGAGTTGAAAATTATTTGTAATTGGTATATTCTATCGCTTAGCTACTGCATATAAACGAGCAGTCATACATTAATATGCTGTACAGAATTGCCTTGGCATGGCGATCTAAAGCTAGGTGTTGTTTTATCTCAATTATATAAACGGTGCACAGACTGTAGCGCTGAGAGGTTCGTTTTCCAACCATGTTCTTTGCAACGATCTTGGTATATATACTCGTGCAGTGTTGTGATCCGTATCAGTCGGCCAAGGTCGCATAGTCCAGGGTGAGCATTAACCGAGTAGCAATCCATGGTGCAATCGCACACGCAACGAGTCAAAGAGTAGGAGGAGAGAGGGGTTCGGTCTTGATTCGAACCGAGTAGCAGTGGTCTGCCTGGGTATCGCGGCATGAGATTGAGCGGATTGAAGAACTCGTGGCTTCCTCGTTGCGAATGTCCCCCTTTCGGTACATGTACTATCATATATTAGGGGATAAGAGATCGTATTTGACACACTGTTCAACGCTTTCAATGCTACTCTGGAGCAGTCCACGTGCTTCGAGTCCAACCCATACACGGAGCATAGACAGGTCGCCTGATCGAACGGACTTCAGGGAAGTAGTGTTGGACCCAAGTTTTCGAAGAATGGGAAGAGAACTATAGAATCGAGTCAACCGGGGATCAAGGTGGTACAGCAAGAAGGCCGATTCTGGCAGCTAGGGACCAGAGGTTTATCTACCCACCTCTTGAAGAGATCTAGATTGGGGTCCAAGTTACGCCCAATCCCCTCAAGGAGAAGGCATGAGATGACGACATTGACGAAATCACCTTCGAGCCTAACATGATGCTTTCGGACCAAAGTCAACACCTCACTCAGCACGTCGCCGATCTTGACATTTCCCAATGCAAAGGTCCGTGACTTTACACTCAGAACTAAATGTTCCATCCCCAATGCAAAGTAATACGGATCGATAACCGCTTCTGGCTGGCGGCATCGTTCGACCATGAGCTCGCCTGCGCGGAATCCATCGAACTCCGCAATGGCGCGAAACAAGTCAATGAAGTTGAGCCGGTTGAGTTCATTCAGCTGGGTCACCAGTCCAGTATCGATAAAGATGAGCTGGGGCCGATAACCATCGGCGTTTAGGCCATCGAGCGTTTTTTGCCAGTCGCGCCGGTTATTGACGTGAGGGTGCAGCCGTGCGAGAACAGATTCCATCACATCGACCTCGGCTGCGGTCGGCGCATCCGATGCGCGAGACTTGTTGCCAAGCGACAAACCCAATTCACTTGGTCGATAAAAACGGACCATAATATTACCCGGGTGCAAGTCTGCGTGGACAAAATTATCAATTAGGAGCATGTGGAGGAATGCGTCCAGGCCCTCATTTGCAATCTCTTCCTGGTAAACGCCTCCGCCCATGTCAAGGAAGGTGGACAACGGGATACCCTGAGCGAACTCTTCCACGAGCACCTCACGGGTAGAGTAGTCAAGATATGGGTATGGAAACCAGGCGGTGGTTCGGGTCCTGAACTTCTCACGGAAATTGACTAGGTTTGTTGCCTCGATTCGGAGGTCCAATTGCAGCTTCATCATCTCCCCGAACTGATAAACTTCATCCGGCAGTGACAGCCAGTTCATAGTGGGGATCGCGTTGATCAGAGATGCAAAGAAGGACATGATCTTCAAGTCTCTATGAATCACATGTTCTACCCTAGGATGGAGCACCTTGATGGCTACATAAGATGACGGCACCCGCTGGGGAGAGCTCTTGACTAACGCCCCAACATTCTTTCGAACTTTGTCCCGTAGCCGGTACGAGTGAGTATCAAAGCTGTCGTTACTAGTTCCCATAAGATTGGGCTTCAGTTTCGCTTTGTAGACCTGCGCGATAGCACCTACCCCCAAGGGTTCTTCATGAAATTCCTCGAAGATGTCCTCGAAGGGCAGCCAGTTGAAGGCCTTCCTTATGGTCTTTTTAGTCTGTCGCAGCGAATGCGCGGGTGCGTTTGAATGGAGAAATGACAGGATCTCACATAGCTCCGGGGGGAAGATGTCGGTGCGCGAAGCCGCCCACTGCCCTAGCTGGTAGAGTATCGGGAGTCAGCGGGTTACAGAATAGCCCGATAGCAAGAATGAGGTTTACCTTGATGAATGCTGGACCTGCACGTTCCATGGATTTAACCAAAAAGTTATACCACCAGAGGGTCCCTGTACGTACCCTCTCATGGTCTTTCGATGGCCTCCCGAAGCATACAGACGGGGCCGCGAGTATAACAGGCAAGAAGATAATGACCAAATGAATGAATCGGAAGCCCGTAGCTACCGGATCGTAAATGTAATGGTATCCGAAAACAAACAGAGACTGAAAGAGCCTTTTCAGACCTCGCGCATCTTCCGCGATGGTCTTTTGCACCTCTTGGCGCGAGATTTCCAGCATTTGCATCTCCGCTGTTTTACCATTGTCTTCATCCCCGTCCACGGCCAGCTTTAGGAAAGCCGCTGGGGAAAGAGCGGCGATAAGAATCGTCCTTTTCGGTGGCCCCCTCTTTGGAGGCCTTCTCCCAGGGGGTTGTGTCCATGGTGGCGACCGGGAGAAGAAGCGCAGTCGAGGCTGCGGAGGAAGGCGGGACAGTAGCAGCAGCGGGCTCCTCCCACGGCTTAAACAGAAACGGCCCGAGAGGACGGCCGTCCTCATGATCTCATAAAGACACCGGCTCGACGGCGGGGATATCGGTCATCGAAAAGCGGAACTGAGACCTTGCGGGAACATAGTCGGGCTGGCGGAGGAGAGAGACGGCTGCGCATCCTTGAAGTTCGGAATGGAGTTGGAAAGTCGGCGTGGCGGGCGGCGAGCACGTGGTGCGACTGACGTCATCTCATCCATTTGTGTCCGGGTGTCTTCTACGTTGCATCTACAGAATACACGGTACTATTCGTTGGAAGCTCCCGGGGTTCTTCGCCCCTACGATCCATAATCATTCTAGCGACCATTTTTACCGCCCATGAGCAGAGACGCGGAGCTTCCATCGCCTTCCATCGACAAGAATGTAACAAGACATGACGCAGCTTCAAGCAATCGGCATCGGGTTGCCGTCCCGGAGTTGCCTCGAGATATGAATGAGCACCAGTTCCTGGATGGTGGCTTTCGAGGATTCGGGAAGCGTAACCGGCTGCAAGTAAGGATTAACGTCACCGATTGAAAAGGAGTCAGGAGGCATCGGCTGGCTTACATCATTCTTCAAGATTTCCTGCAGGAGAACGACGATGTTACCCCGATCTTTGTCCAACTGGGTTGCCTCTGTTTCATCGGTGGGCTCTGGAAATTCCACGTCCAACGTTTGTTCGATCAAGGGGAGAATTCCCATGTCTGGCAAGCATCTCGAAACAGCCGCGGAGCCCGCGTTGCTGGAGGCCATCAGGGCCAGTGCGAACCAACCTTCACTCCGGACAACGGGCCACTGTGACTGGGTAACCATAGCACCAACCGGGAGTGCGACATCCTCGTGCAAGTCGAAGACTCTTTCAAGAAGATCATTGGCAGCGAGATCCTGTTCGCGAGACTTTGGGACCAGAGTGCGGCATACGGAAGTAACGATGCGTCCAATCTCGGTTTTAATCGGGGTTGAATCTGTCTTCCGGAATAACTTAAGCAACAGCGACAGATACGTTCGTTTGGGAGTCAAGTCATCCCCTTCTTCGGGGAGTTCTTCGAGCAGACGAGAGATATTTTCAATTGTTGATATGATCACCTGTCGTGTGATACTGGTCGCGGCAAGCTGGACCTGTGGGACCGAATCGTATTGCCACAAGCGTGAGATCGAAGAAATTATGCCAGTCTCCCCGAAGATTAACCTGTTATCACCGGCGATCGCCAAGTTCTTCAGATAGCCCAGCGCGGAGTGCAAGACCGCGGCATTAGCGTCACTTCTGAGGATCGATATCAAATCTTGATGTATGTTGAAGTCTCGAACCATCTTTTCGCAGACTGCATCTGATCGGGCCAAGTTGCCCAGCATGACGCATGAGCATATTTGCAATTGGTCTTCACGTGAAGTCATCCAAGCCTTTAAAGTTTGAATAAGAGGGGATTCTATGGGGTAAAAGTCCGCAAATGAATCCGATGCGGATATCTCAGCGAGGACTTGATTTGTTTTCAAACATGCCTGGGTCAATGCTTGATCATCATCATTAGAATAATGGCCAGCCTTGAAGGACAGTGACTGGTTGAGCACCGCCAACACGTGAGTGACCATGCCATTGGAAATGCATATCTCTTGGAAATGCGCATTAGTCAAGAATGACACCAGACAGTTGGTGAGGCAGATGGACTGCGCGGGTGTAGACGTGATCTCCTTATTAAGAGCAAGCTCGACAACGAGCAAGATAGTCCCATCAGGGGAAGAGGTAATTCCTTTTTCTAGGCAGTCATTCAGTTAGAGCAGAAGTGCAACATGTAGATATCGGCCATACCTTGTTCTCCAATTAGCTCTATAAGCTCAAAAACGTAATCAACCAGAGCCTCGCGACCCTTAAGCGTGCCATCCTTGACCAGCTTAAGAAGGACATATAGTAACTTATTGGCACCCAATTGGGCCTGGGCGGGTGCTACATGGTGTCAGCGATATTGGCGGCTCGGAACGGACAGTATAGGGCTTGCGGTTACCATAATCAATGCATGTGTTATACAAGACCGGTATGACCACTTGGATGAGCTCCAGGTTACTTGAGTGTTGTACAATAGCAGAAGTGTAATTGGATTTCACTACCCTGTCTCTATTCTCGTCTACCACAATCAGCACCGGGGTTCTCCTCATAATTCGAGTAAATGATAGCACAACTCACTAGTGTCAGCACAGGAGTTGCCAATCAGCCTAAATGCATGAAGAAGAAGTTTGTCATCAACAGACGCCTTGGATGCTATAAGCTGGAGGAAGAAATCCAAGATTCCGGCTTGCCCGTATGCGACCCTCCATGGTGCTGCGACTCCGTTAAAAAATCCGATAAAGGCCAGTCATAGAGGTACCCAGCCAGGGGCGACTTACCGTTTCTGCTGCCGTTCGCCAAAGCCTCTGCGGCCGGTGCTAGATAGAGCGATTTGCATTCCCAGAGCGTGCGAAGAATACTCGGGATTGCCTCGAAACATTCAAGACCCCCATGCTCCTCTGCGCCCTTGAGGGAGCTCCGCAGAGAATCGAACAGGACTTTCTGTTCCTCAGAGGGTAATGATTGGGTCGCCGCGAACGTGAGTGCCGGCGACGGTGGAGCCAACTCGGACAGAATTTGAGTCAGGGAAGGGCATTCTATCCTTGCGAAGCTGCGAGGGCTTATTTGGTGATCGTTGCTGCCGTGGGTGTTCTCTTGAACACAGGCCACGTCACCGGAGGGGCTCATTTCTTGATATCCGCCCGCAGTCGATGCAGCAAGAACAAACCGAGGGAGGGATCCCAGATGGGCTGTATTATATGCACTGGTCTAGCTAGTAGTAGGTTCGGATTGAGGTGGGAGCGGTGGAAAAGCGGACCATGAGGTCGGGAAGCCGTACTTTACGGGGTTGAGGATGTATGTATGTATGTATGTATGTGTATATGTAGTATGTGGTGAAGGCTGGGAGAAGGAGCAATGAATGGTTCAACCGGTTTTTTGCTCCCGCAAACAGGTGCCGAGCAGAGCAGAGCACAGCAGTAGTAAGTAAGTAGCACTTTGGTGTCGAGAGTCGAGAGGGGAACAGGAACACCCGGCTGCTACCTAGGTAGATAGTAGGTAGGTAGGTACATACATAGGTACCTAGTACTTACTTACTACTGCAGGTATCTACAGAAATCCAAACTACCACCTGCACCTTATAGATATACACAATGCCAGGATCACCGGGTTGTACCCAGCATTTTGAACCCGAGGGCGTCTACTTTGCCGTCCACACTGAGGATGTACCTCAAGATACCTTACAGTACTCTCTCCGTACAGGTATGTAAGTGCTGTAAGTATTGGAACAGAGCACAGATGACTATTACGGTATGCGTCACGGCCATGAGCCGCACGGCGGGCTGGGCGGGCTGGGCGGGCTAGGCTGGCCGGAACACTATTCAGTAGAGGAGAGTACTGTGGATCAGTTGTCCTTTCAACAACCTCCCTTTCTCCTCGACATATCTCTCTATCAACTGCCTTCCTTGCCGCACGTTCATTACCCTCTGCCCGTTCACTTTCCTTTCCAATCCTTTGCCGTCCTGTCATTTCTGTTCCAATCCGGTCATATATTCATCATGACGCGTGCGCAGCAGACTCTCTCGGTCCTCCTGCTTGTCTCCTCGGTACGCCCGTACATACATACATACCCTTTGCTGCATCAATCCCGGCCGCTAATGAACATCCTTGGGACATTAGCTTTACCTGGTCCTCTACCTGGGTCTTGTTCCCCTGAATGAAACATTTCAGACTGAAGTTATTCCTGTTGTATGTCTTGCGTCCTGCTCTCCCCGCGGATAAACGGCGTCCGTCGCATTTGTTCACGCTTTCACCCCGCTGACCTTTGGACCCCCCTGGGACAGCTTCCGTTCTATGCCGTAATATGTTTCGGCTGCTACCTTCTCGGCCGTCTGGGTCTGGCGATCCTGACTTTCAACGACGTTCCGGAGGCGCATCGGGAGTTACAAAAGGAGATCGAGCAGGCCAAGGCCGAATTGCGCAAGGCAAATGTCGACGTTGACTAAGTAGCAGACCCGTCCTTTTCTTCGAACCTGACTGTTCGCGCAACGTGGGATACTGCGGGGATGATCTATCTCTCTTGCAATCTATGTTTACTCAAGCCCATATGCTTTCCCGTCCGTTTGCTTCCGTCAGGATGCTTAATTACATCGTGGTTACAACAGTCTAATAATCGATTTCCGCCTCATCACTGTACAGTGCTCTGCTGTCTAGGCCATGGCACACCACCCAACCCATTATCGGATTGTTGCGACTCTACGAATGCAAACTACCCAGTACTATGAGAATATATATATTTGCGTGTCATGAAAATACAGGATCCGACAGCGGGTTGTATACGCTATGCAAATAAGCAAGCAAGATGTCGCAGTGGCCCGGGTGTAACTGCCACTCTGGAGCTAAGTGTAGCTCAAGCCTAGGAACAATTGGTTGAAATGGTAGCAAAAAGTTTGTCATCATAGTAGCGAATTGCTTTTTGTTCTATGAAACTATCAGAAACACCATCGGAAGTAGTTTTAAATACCCAAAATGTCTCCTCCGCAGCTCGGAGGAATGGGGACAGAAGCAATATATGTGCAAATATAGAGCCGGTGCCTATGCATGCCCAACAGAAGCAATTTTCTGGACTGGCAAAAGGGAGGGAATGAGCTAGGGCTAAGCAGTTTGACCGAGTACTCCGTAGTAGATGCTCAGACGATGGTGTTCTGTTGAGCCAACCGGTCGTGCTCGTCGATGTCCCTGCAAGAAAACCAGTTAGCAAAGCCATATCTATTGCTGGTCATTTATAGCACTTAGTGAGGTTACATACATAGCCTCCCACGGGTAGCAAATCCAAACATCGTCGGTTGTAACGGACGCATGGTAGCGATTCGACTCCATCATGTCTGCCGGCAGGATGCCCTTCTTGTCCTTGTTCTTGTTCTGCAGAAGAAACAAATGTAAGTTGTTTGTAACAAGTGGTGCAAGCAACGCAAGGAGGCGCATAAGCGCCGGAGACATACGTGAAGCACAAAAACAAAGAAATTCGTCGTCTCGCCCTCCCGTCCGAGCTGTTTCTGTGCCAACTCAACATCCTTCTGAAGCTCGCGCACTGCGTACTCGAGGGTCGTCCGTGTGTCATCAACTTCGTCAACAATGAGGATGTTCTTTCCGATGAGGTTTGCCATCTCCAGGGAGCTCAGGTCCAGCCATTGTGTGCGAGTGACCTTGGTTCCGGGAACCTCCTCCGGGTCGCCGCGGCCCAGATTTTCATACAGCGACAGACCGATGGCCTGGATCGGGATATTGGGGTCGCCCGGGCGCTTCAGGAACGAGCTGTCAAAAGGAATGGAGTCAAAATCGAGTTTCGCCTCATCATCATATTTCTCCAACGAACCGAAGAATACGAGCAGGAATATAACCTCCACCACCAATGGCAATCATGAGATTAGGGTGGAAGTTGTTCAGAATCTCGTCCGCGGAGGTCTGACATAGTTTGTGGACCTTTCAAAGCGATCAAATCAACTGTTAGCGGATGGCTCTTGACTGACGGACGGCTGAGACGCGACGTCGCATACCTGGTTGTAGGTGACATAAAGCTTCTGGGGCATGTTGGCTGGGAGTAGGCAAGGCTGCAAGGATAGATAGAGGGGGTGGTGTATGTATGACAAGCAGGATCCAGAACGGTTCAAAGACTTTGTATGGGTACTACTATTGGAGGAGGGGGTGAGGAAATCTGCGAAGATGATATTTGTATCACGCAGTCAAAATCATCGATTATATGAGGGGTAATCATAGGTCTGAAAATTATGAGCCAATTTTTTTTCCCTTTCCCTTTTTTCATTTTCACAATTTAAATTTTTTTTTTTCGTTTTCCCATTTGACTACCTAAGAAACAGCTGCGTCACAGCCTGAACACATCCACCTGTAACTGAAAGGATAAGGTTCCCTGACAAGTGCCTTTGCCCGCGGGCTGCCACACGACCGATCAAGTCATGGATGTGGCCAAATTCAGTATGCGGAGATGATCTGGCAGCCAATCAGGCTGCAAATCTGTCGGCTAAGTCCCGCGCCATGCTCTTTTCGGCTTGGTCGGCTATTGCCATCAGTAAGATGAACTGCCTTGGGGCCTGAGGCGGGCACGGAGAACGGAGTTCTCCGTCGAGGGGCGCTGCTCAGCTTTTGGCCGACTCGGCCCGAACATCCCCAGTACTACCACTAGGTATTCCGTACTATTACTCCATTAATACTACTTACTCTACCACTACCCCTTACCTAGTGCTGCCTACTTACTCGAGCATCTATCAGTAGGAGTACGCCGTGGTATCTACCCATCCATATTGCATGAAGAGGCAGGACTCCGTGCTGTATAGTAGCGTAGGGACACCTACGGAAGGCGGCGCATGAGCAGTTCCTGGACGTGTATACGGTAGTCATCTGTTTACTAGCAGTGCCTTGATGGTGAGATATCTGCCCATACCGTGCATGATCGGAATTTTCTTTTCCTTAGATTTCCCTATTGCCGGTACACCAAGTCTCTACTTCTACTGTTCCATGTCCTGATCGATTCTCATTCCGTAGTACAGTAAACGCAGTCCCGACAGAAGCTGTTATGAACGGTATATATAACCCAATAACTCCAGCTCGGAAAATGCACGGCGATGAAATAAATTTCGTCTAGACCTATGTACAATCAAAAACACGTTAAACATCCTCAATGGGGGTGTTTCCGCCTGTCGAGTCAGCTTTGATTTGATTTATCTCAAAGCCACCCTCGTCTTTATCTTCTCCCTTCTGGGGCCAAAGAATTTGGCGCAACACGATGGCACGGATCATCATGTAGAAGACAAATATATACATTAGTATAAGGGGAAATACCATGACACATCCGACTATGGATATCGCTTTGCAGGAGAAGGCCTTCCCAATAGCAAAAGTGGCGGTTATCAGTGCAGTGTTGGGGAACACAAACGAAAACCATGCCATCGAGAAGACCATTCGACCGGGCCCGATTGCAGACCAATGGGCAAAGCTTGCTATAAAAAAAAAGAAGATTGCCAGCCTAGAAATCAATCAGCTTACGGCTACCGGATATCGTGAGATGTCTGAAGGCACTGTGTACATACCCCCACAGCCATAAGCACGCAAAATCCGCAACAACTTTCACGATGTCTGCTGCCAAGGCACCATTGCCCAGGAAATCATCCGGGAAGCTTCTTTTCGCATGGGCTGCCATGTTGACAATCCCTGATACTGTAAAGGCACTGGGACCAACTGAGACAAACATACCCGGCCGAACATTCTCTCGGGGGAGTTTTTGCGACATCAGCCTGTAGATGAACGCCGAGTAAACCATTAACGAGACCAGGAAGCCAACCCCTTGTATGGTGACCCCACCGATGATAATACGCAAAGAACGGGCCGGTTCAAGCTTGGCACTCAGGATCCCAGCATGTGGGCCTATTATCAGCATAGGGTACGCCGGGAAGATCCATATAGGCGTCATCTGGGCAATGGTAAATGTCTGTGTTGACCACCTGCCATAAAATTAGCTTCCAAAAGGATGATGCTTGGGATACGCTGGGGCTGGCGAGGTCGTGTGCACTGACAAAATGAGATAAATAGCGGCCGAAGAAATGACTGCAAGGGCCGCGTCAATCCAAAACAAAATCCCCACAGCATATGTGAGCCAGGGCCCAGCATGGTCGGGTCCATATTGCGAGATATTGATCAATATCGTCCCAAAAGAGACCAACGATGCAGGTACAAAAAGTGACTCGGTCGGGTGCAAGAAGGATGCTTTGAAAGTGTAGGGGTAAAAGTGGAACCGTGCAATCAAAAGACACCATATGAGGATGTAAAGAACTAAATTGAACAGGAAAAAAATGATACCAATGGTTTCCAAGCCACGAAACTTGTAAGGAACTATATATTGCTAAGTGTCATTAGACATTTCGGCGGGGAGGGGTCATGGCTCACTGACCGAAATATAGTACATTGGCTATTCCACCAGTTGCCATTGTCAAGGTGAAGAAGGCCCAGGTAAAGTGACGAATCCGCTTTTTCCAGCCAAGACCACTGCCCCAGACCTTAACTTGAGGAAGATTCGAGTCATCTTCTTCTCCCTCAATCCCATTCCCTTCGGACTTGCGATAAGAGGAGAGGTGCAACGATTCCAAGGCCGACGTGTGGACCTGGCGAACCCTAGTCGCTGTTGGTTGAAATAAAGAAACCCCGCTGTTGTTCTCTGCAAGGTGGTTTGCTGTATCTTCGATGGTTGGAGTGCGATAGCCATCTTCCCCAGGACTTCTCATGTGCCTGGGAAACGAAACCTCCCGATTCATTGCCATATTCCTTGAAACTGCAGTGCAGTCATATTTGTGTCTCTTTAGGGGGGAGGGGAAAGATCCAACTATAAAGGGGCCTATGGGCTGGGGGAGTCTCATATAACTCTCTTTTCCTCTCTCTCTCTCTCTCTCTCTCTCTCTCTCTTTCTCTCTCTCTCTTTCTCTCTCTCTCTTTCTCTCTCTCTCTGTGTGTGTGGGTGGGTGGAAGGGCGGTAAAGAAGGGGAGGAGGGGGGAGGGGGGTTGAGGGGCGAAGAGGGGCCCGTATCCGGGTTCAGTTCAGGAATTGATCTTTATCAGAAGAAGGGCAATGATGTGTAAATAAATGACCCAGAATAGATAAATGTACGCATTGATCCCGTGCACCATTAACGGATAAGGTAGGGCTGATTGATGTACTGGTAAGTAGTTGTATACAATGTGCATAGGTACAGCGTAGAGAAGGGAAAGGATGCCAAGGCACTTCGTACTGTGTGGGGTAGAGGAGGAGGTAAAAAGATGGAGAAAAGCCTCCAAGGGCAAACCGTCAACAGTAGTAAATAGTCAGGTACTGCCGGGCTAGGCGGTGAGAAGGAGGGGGGGGGATCCTTCCGGAACAAGTAGTTGCCACTTATGATTGCTATAATATAGATAGATAATCTTATCTGAAGATCTTCTATCTAGTTAGTTAAATTAATTATTATTTATTAATATTTTACTATTTGCAAATAGCTTTATTAAATATTTTTTATTATATAATAAAAACTGCTCGCCTGTAGTATATTATAATAAACTAGTTATTATTATAATTAATAAATATAATAATTAAGATCTAATAAACTGCAGAATAAGAATAATTATTATTTCTTATATTTTTATATTCTCTTATTTTTATATTTTTTTATTTTTTTATATTTATTTTATCTACTTATCTCTTCTATATATACTTTATTAAAAGTAGATATTATTTTAATCTTAATAAAAAAATAATTTATTATCTAGTCTTTAATAATTAAAAATAGAAAAAAGATTTTAATTAATTATAGTTAATTAATTAATTATAATTAAATAAAACTAATTAATTATAAATAAATAATCAGATATAAAAAATTATAATATTATATATAAATAATCAGCTGATATTTATCAGTAAGCCGGGCAAAAATATTAGATTATTTATAAATTAATATTATTATATATAATATAAAACTTCTAATTTTAAAAATAATAAATTAAATAAAACTAAGATTATAATAATAATATTAGACTTACAGAGCAAAGCTCTTTAATTTATAAATATATTATCTTAAATTAATTAACTAAATTATAATATATTAAGAACTTAGTTATTAATTAGATTTTCTTTAAGAAAATCAACTGATAGAGTTTAAATAGTAATAAATAAAATAATTAATCTATAATAAAAAAATTAAACAGTTAATAAATATATTAATAAAATAAAAAATATTAGTTATATAATATTTATTAATTTAGAATAGCTTCAGAAATCTCTGATTATATAATTTATAAAAAAATTAATTAATAAAACTGTTTATATTATATTATTAATATATATAAAAACTCAGGCACAGAGAGTAACTGCTGTGACTGTTATAGTCCCGGCTAATAATATTATTAATAATAATATAAAAACTAAGATTACTCTGCAGTAAGCTATCAAGATTTTATAAATAATAAAAAATAATATAAATAAAATTAAGATTATTTTAAACTTATAAATAAATAATAAAACTATAATAAAATTATAAAGATTTAAAATTATTTTATTATTAATAGATTTATAAAAAGACTAAAAAATTTAAAAATTATTAATAAATCTTAATCTCAGTCTTAGTCTTATATTTAATAAGATTAATTATAATTTTATTAGTCTTTTAATAATATAAATAATTAAATCTATTATTATTATAAAAAGTAAGAATATATTATTTTAATATATATAAATCTATCTTTATTATTAAAAAATTAAAATTAAGTACAGTAAGAGAATAGAGCTAGAATTAATTAAATAAAATAAATAAAAAAAATAAAAAAATAGTATTTAATTTTAAGAATATTTTTAAATATAAAAAATAATAATAATTTATTAAGATAATTATTAAATAAAAGAACAGAATTATAATTTAAGTCTATATTATTAGATAAAAAGCTTTAATTTATATCTTAATTAATAAATAATCTGAATATTAGCTATATTAATCTAAATAATAATATAATTAAAAGATAAATTATAAGTAAAAGTTATACTATTATAGATTTTTATATAATTAATTTAAAAATTAAGATCTGGCAAGAATATTAGTTTAATATATTAAAATAATTATAAAAAGTATATATAATAACAGAAAAAAAAAGATAATAAAAAAATTTAATAATAATAAATTAAAAAAGATTATATTAATTACTTCAGAATTATCTAGAGTGGCTTAACCTGATCATTATACCTTAACCTTAATCTGGCCATAATCTGATAATCAGATTAAGATATAAAAACTTTTTAACTATATAGTTAAGATCAGATTAAGATATAATTATTATTATAATTATTTATATCTGCTGATCAGAAAGATCAGATATAGCAGATAGATTAATAATTATAGATTAATTTATAATATATATATACTTCTTATATATATAATATATAAAATATAATATATATTTAATTATAATATAGATATAATAATATTCTTATTTCTTTAGATATAATCTATTACTTAATCTGCTTAATTAGTTATTTTAGACTTTTAAAAAATATACTATACTCTGAAAAAGACTTTTATAAAATCTAGTATAAAAAAATAAAAAAAAATACAGAATATTTATTCTTTATATTATTCAGGATAATAATTATAATAATATAAAAATTATAAAAATCAGGTCTTTATCTCTATCTAAATATATATAATAATTAAAGACTTAGATAAAACTAATTCTTCTAATTCTAATAATAATCTATTTTTTAAATTATCTTTAAGATTATCTATATTCTTATTTTTATTAATATAGAAGATAGTAATTATCTTATTTTTTTTTTATTTTTTAGATATAAAAATAATTAAATCTGAATTAAGATTATTAAATATATTCTAATATTTCTTACTTATAATAAAATAATTAATATATATTTAAAGTATAACTACTTTAATTATATTAAAATTAAAACAGCTCTAATAATAATAGTAGATATTTTAAAAACTATTAAAAAGATATTTAATATTAATATTATTAATTATAATTAAAAAAAATCTTTAATTATTTAATAAAAAATAGAAAACTAATCACAGCAGAATTTTTAATAAATAAAAATATTAATATATTTTATAATATCTGAAATTATATTAGTTTAATTAAAAATATCTTAAGAAGCTATATATCTTTAATATTTAAATATATCTTAAGTTTTTTATATATCTTAACTGCGGATAAGAATCTCTGATATTTAGAGATATTATAAAAAATCTTATTTAGATTTAATAATAATTTAGAGATTATTAATAATATATTAATTACTAGATTTTAACTAGAATAGAAAGAGAATATCTTTTTAAAAATAATTTAATATTTATAATATTAGTTAATATTTTTATTTAGTTATATATTTTTTTTAAATTTTTTAAGCTTTAATATTAAATCTAGAATAATTATAATTATATAGATATAATCTTTTATTTAATAAATATAATAATAATATTTTCAGAGCTTTTAATATATATTATATAAGCTTTTAAAAATCTTTTTTTTTTAGAATATTTACTTTTTTTTAATTTATTAATTAAATAATTTAGATAATTAAAAAGATTATTATAAATATTATAGATTTTATAAATAGTAGATTTATTATTCTTAGAGAGATAAAAATAAAAAAAAAAAAAGAGATATAAAAGCTTAAGAAGATATTTTATTTATTTTTATTTTATTATAATAAAATAAAGATAATTAATATTATTATATTTATAATATTAAATAAAACTTTTAATTACTTAACAGAGTTTAAGTATTTAATAAATTATAAAATAGATTAAGTTTTAGTAGATTTTATAATTAAAAAAAAAATAATAGACTGAGTCAGATTTAAGTTATTAAATAAATAAAAATTTTTTATAATATTAAGAGTTTATATTTATAAATTATATAATTTTTTAAATCTATAATTAAAAATTAATATAATAAACTAGCTAATAAAAAACTTCTAAAAACTTTTTATAAAAAAAGATTCTATATTAATTTTTTATAGATAATTTCTAGAATATATTTTTTTAAAAATTTTTAAAATATTAAAAAAGACTTTAAGACTTTTATTATTATTTTTTTATATATATTTAATAATATTATTTAAAATCTTAATCCAAAGTTTCCGCAGGAGAATATTAATCACAAGCTAAATTATATAAATAAAACAGAGAATATAATACTAGCTTTAAATAATCTTTAAAAAATTAAAGTTAATTAGAGTATTATAAAATTAAATACTCTGACTAAGTTAAGTTCAGAGTTTAGCTAAGATTATATTAAATATTATATTATTATTATTAGTATTATCAGTTATTATATCTAATAATTAATAGATAAGATTATATTTATATAAAACTGATAAAATAATTATAGCTAGATTTTTATTAATATAAAATTTAGATATTAATTAGAAATCTAGTAAAATCTTATAATAATCTATATCTTTTATTAAGAAATATTTAATTAAATTAAGAAATATTTTTTAATTAAAACTAATTCAGTAGTCTACTATAATTAATATTTATTTAATATTTAGAAATTTTAATAATAATTATATATATATCTCTTTAAATAATTTTATAAAATATTCTTTAATTTATATTTAATTAAAAAAATTTAATTTTTAACAGAGAAATAAAGCAGTAAGATTAATTATTTATTTAAATTAAATATATTTAATAGTTTAGAACAGTAGATAATAGATAATTATAAAATATAGAATTTAATTCTAAAAATCTTATTTATTATAAATTATAAAAATCTAGAGAAAGAT